GAGAGAGAGAGAGAGAGAGAGAGAATGTGAGAGAGAATGAGAAAGAGGTCATTGGCATTTTAATGAATATGTTTGTAGAAATGAAAGAGAGAGAAAAAAAATATATAGAGAGGGAGAGAGAAAGACAAGTAGTACATGAGTCAGGAGAGAGTACAACGACATTCCAAGGAGGACAAGAATTCAGACATACGATAAGTGAGTTATTAATAGATAAGCGAAGATGATGGGACAAAGCTGTGTGTTTCAAATCGTATTAAAATTAAAACGTTAACTAACTATTAAAGTTTTATTTGTCCTACCTCTCGGTGATAATAAAAATTCAATCGATTGATCGTATCACGCGAAAATAATATGCATACATTATACATCTATATATAATCATATACATGTATGCATTTTTATGCGTGCCGTACATACATATATATATATATATAAATAAAAAGAAAAAAAAAAAGAGTTTACCTCTCGCCAGGACACTTTCGCGTCTAGCGTAAGATATATCTTGAAAAAGAAGAAAAAAAGGATCGTCGATGCATGGGATGCTCAATTCTTTCCAAGGATTAGTCGAATTATTCGTCGAATTAGACGTAGTCGAATTTAACGTCTTCAAATCTAGCGCCATTTTCCGGATCTTCTTCGAAAACAAACGAGAAACACTTTCACACGGGATCACGTGTCCATCTCGAGAACTTTTCTTTGTTTGTTGTGTGTTGTCTATCTATCTATCTATCTCTCTCTCTCTCTCTCTCTCTTTCCCTCTCTTTCTATTTCTATTTTACTTCTTCGTTTCTTTATAAAATTTTGTTAATAATTGTCACGCGTGTAAAAAATAAAATCGCGTGGGTTATTATACTTAACACGTTGGCATTACTAAACGCAATGCTGGTTTTTGCAATGCGCGTAAACTGTTATCGCGTTTATGAAGTTTTGAGAGTACTTCCGCGCGTGTACAAAGTACGCGCGCGTCTCTCCCTCTTTTGTTTCTCGCGCAAAGTCCTCCACGCTATAACATTGTTCCTTATTCCATTCCGTTCCGTTCCGTTCCGTTTCGGTCCGTTTCATTCCGTTCCGTTTTCATTTCGTCTCGTTCC